AATCTTTCGTCATATGTCCTGAGAATCAGGTATGGTATAAGTCACAACTCGTCTCCCTAACCCCACATTTCACCTCTCTCTTGACATCTACTCAGAGCATCAGCATCCTTATGCCTTTGCCCACAGGTTCTTTCTTTGTCTTTCCAACTCCTTGTTTATAAAACAAGGATCCTAGAATTGTATAGGAAGATGTTTTTGAGTTTATGTCTACCCTGAATGCTTTGACTGACACATATTTAAGTAATACTTAGAAGAATAATCAGACTGGGAATGGATAAGTAAGATGAAGAGACCTAATATGATTTAACTGTTGAAAATTGTGCTCCCTTATTCTGTTCAATGCGGAGTGGCCAATCTTGAAACCATAAACACATAAACAACAAAAACAGACTCAGCAAGTTACGTTTATATATATTCGTGAGTACAGATACATAATACATATATGTCGATATGTAACAATAATAAACAAGGGGAAATGCTATCACCTTGGCAGGGGACATGGAGGTACCTGAGGAAGTGTATCTGGGAGGGACTGTAGGGAGGAAAGGGAGTGGGGAAAGTGGTGCAATTCTATTTCAATTAAAATCATACTGAAAAAACAACAACTGGTCTCTAGAGATTGTCCTGAGGATATAGTCAGTGGAGAAATAAACATTTGAGAAGTGTGTGTGTGTGTGTGTGTGTGTGTGTGTGTGTGATATTTTAGCCATGAAGAACACCATAGTGCTCTTCTTATCTTGGGACATGGATCCAAGAGCATGGACAGACACTTCATGTACATCCAACAATACTTGTTTTCCTTGTATAAGACAGTCTACTTCTAAAAGATTTAGGGTTAGGTGCTGAATATTAATTCTATCAAATAAGGAACACCATGGGCTGGGCTGTGGTTTCTCCTGGACTCTCAAAGATATAGATCACTGTTTTTGAAGGAAACTACACATTTCTCCCAACATCACCATAATTTTTGTGGCAATTTCATAATAATAGGTGTTATTTTCAACCATTTTATTTTTTAGAGATGTGACTGAAATTCAAAGAGAGAGAGACGATAACTTGTTCAAAAGTGGGTTAGCAAACTCCTTCCTCAGATGCTGATACACTTTGAGCTGGAGTCTCTTTTTACTTTACATTGCATCTCTTAAATGCCTATGTTGCTACACTTGCCTCATTGATGACTCACTGTGTGGGTCCCATAAATTCATAAAAACCAAAAGTGATTGCTTGGCATTATATCCGTGCCATAACATAAAATATAATTTGTTCAAATTTTGCAAGCTAACTGACAAGACTGCATAAGAGTTGAATAAACTAAAGCTACTGTGATATAACCTAACCCTGCAGGGACTATCTAATTGGGCATTAGGATAAACGTGCTCATGTAACTAGTAGTTTACATCTCCTTTAGTTCTAAGCATTTAGAGTGTGCTAAAATTCCAAGTTCATGTTGTTCCCTGAGCCTTTGGGGAGGTTTCATATATATCATATATATTCCATTTAGGGCTGAGCACGTGCAGTCACTATTGTCTGCACCATCTCCTTGCAAGGTTCATAGGACAATGAGGAAACGGTGTCAGAAAGACTGTAAGAGCCAGAGGTTGGGAAGAATTTCTGTGAAACTGTCTTCTGGAATTGGTATGGCCCATCACACATATGAACTCCCAGTAGCAGTAGCTCCCTGTACCAGATCAAACCAATCAATACGTTAACATGGATGGAGGATGAGTTCATAAGGCCCCACCCCCTGAGGAACTTTGGCAATTGTTGACTGTGGGGAAGGGTGGTAGTTAGTTTTCTTCAGGAGTGTGGACCCTAGTAGGTTGCCCATGCTTCAGTGAATGGACCTCGTGGGCATATAGGCAGCATTAATGGGACTCAGTGTGTTATAAACAACAAAATAACAGGGCATGAAGTTGGGAGGAAGATAACGGTGTAGAGTCTGGGAAGGGTTCAAAGGGAAGATGGGGGTAGAGATGTTTAATATTGTTTGTTTTTAGTTTTTCAAGACAGGGTTTCTCTGTATTGATTTTGAGCCTGTCCTGGAACTTGCTCTGTGGATTAGGCTGGCCTCAAACTCACAAAAACCTGCCTGCCTCTGCCTGATCAATATATATTGCATACACATCCAAAATTCTCAGGAATAGACAAAAACATATTAAAAATTCCAAATTGAAGGAAAATAACAAAAAGAATGAAAAGAGTAACAGATCTTTGAATTCTCTGTCCTTGGTGTATATACAGCCTGGGATTTGTATTTTTAGATCAAGAATGAACAAACATCCTAATAGTTTTGTTGGTAGAAGGGGCAGGAGACATAGAAAAGTGTTAATGTGCTTATTAGTCTGGGTACTGTCTTTTGGAGATGGTACACAGGCTTCTGGTGCCAGCTCATCTCCTTATAGAACACTTCATTCTGAACGCCGAGGCACAACACTTCCTGGAATGTAAGGCGAAACCATTAGTTCTCTTTGACCCTCTTCCAGGATAATTTGCCTAGAAATTAATAACTGTCAGGCAGAGATGTTTTGCTGGCATCGAGGCAAAAAGATGCCCCACACTTCCTCCTTCAGGTTCCTAACTTTGGACACCACATTTGCATTTGAAGATTAAGTTACTGGCCTGAGTGAGGAAAAGGATTTTCATTTACAAAACAATTATTGCTTTTTTCTGAGGTCATGAATTTGGTTTTCTAGATGTTTTAAAGTGCTGTCTTCCTCAATTGCTTAGTAACAAGCAATGCTAATGATACAGTTTCAGTGACTTCATAACAAAGTGCTTGGCACTTTACTCTTGAACTGGTTCTTTACAAAGTGCTTGAAAATAAATGATCCCATATCTATAATGCAGGAAAGCCCCCAAAAGAAAACAAATAAACAAAACAAAAATGACGTAGTATTTGCATAGTGCCAAAGATACTGACATTAAATATTTTATTGCATCTTATTTATTTATTTTTAAATGATGTGTTTACTTATATTTTATGTACATTGGTGTTTTGCCTTCATGTATGTAGGAGGGTGCCAAATCCCCTGGAACAGGAATTATAGACACTTATAAGCTCCTATGTGGGAGTTGGAGATTGAACCTGGTCCTCTGGAAGATCATTCAGTGCTCTTAATCACTGAGCCATCTTTCCAGCCCCACATCTCATTTATTTAGAGGGAGGGGATGTCCTGGCACACTTGTGGAGGTCACAGGGCAAATCTTTCCTTCTACTATGTTGGTCCCTGCGTTCCAATGCAGGCTGTCATGCTTGGAAGGAATCATCTTTACCTACCAAGTCATCTCATTGGCCCCTGGAATTTTCTTTTCTGAAGAAAATATACAGGTCTTAAATTTTGTGATTGAAATTTATATTTAACCATATGATTTTCTACTCTGCATCCTATCCGTGACCAAAAGAAATACCCTCCCCACATACAGAGTATATGCAATTTTTAGATAAGAATTATTTTTTCTGTTTTTTAACCCCACTATGACTGAGTGCCTTCCCTGAGTTAAGCATATGTCAAATGTGTAAGCCATTTGTGAGCAACGGGATAAAAAATTACCTCTGCCTCCTAATGTACTGTATACCTTTTACCAAACACTTCAGCAACAACTTCTTGCGTATCTTCAACTGCCCCTACTCAATCATCACAGCAGTATAGTGTGCTATCTAACACTAGGTTCTCAGGGCCAACAATGTTGTAGGTCATCTTGTCTCAGGAGGCAGCACAGCTTTGCATTGTCCCTGCAGGGCACAGTGACAATCCCAAGTTAAGCTTCTGCTTTTTTTTTTTTTTTGGTTTTTTGAGACAGGGTTTCTCTGTGGTTTTGGAGGCTGTCCTGGAACTAGCTCTTGTAGACCAGGCTGGCCTCGAACTCACAGAGATCCACCTGCTTCTGCCTCCCAAGTGCTGGGATTAAAGGCGTGTGCCACCAACACCCGGCAAGCGTCTGCTTTTGAGTAATAGAAAGCATCACAATTTTTATTTACAACTTCTGAACATCCCATGTGGTGATATTTTGTTTAGGATCTAATAAAGCTTCCCTGAAGGTCAGAGTGCAAAGCTAGCCACAGCCATAGAGGACAGGCAGTGGTGGCACACACCTTTAATCCCTGCACTCAGGAGACAGAGGCAGATGGATCTCTGTGAGTTCAAGGCCACCCTGGGCTACATGAGAGCGAATCAGTCTAAAAGAGAAACAGAGCTCACACCTTTAATCTCAGCAAGAGGGAGGTGGAAACAGGAATGATATGGCTGGGCAGAGAGATGAATATAAGGTGGGAGGAGACAGGAACACATTGCAGTCTAGACAGTCTGAGGAGCAGTGCAGTTTGGAGATGCAATAAGAGGACAGGATTGCCCCTACGCTCTGAGCATTGTTAGAGGTAAGAACTCTCTAGTGCTGGCCGCTTTTCTGATCTTCAGCTTGAATCTGAGTGTCTGTCTCTGGGTTTTTATGATAAGTGCTACAATCCCACTCCGGTGGCACCTTTGGAAACAGACATACGCCTGGGCTATAGCTTAAGTGGGAAAATGCACATTGCAGACATGGATGAGCTTGCATATTAGTTCTTAGTACTGAACGGCTTTAAGGAAGTTGGTCATCAATCTCTCTCTCTCTTTTTTTTTAAAGTGTGTTTAGTAAGATGTCCTCGGAGTGTTATAGGGATCATGTTAGAGGTACAGCATTCCCAGCAGTGTGCACTCCAAGCCGCCCGTATGCTTTCCAGTAATCCAGAGAATGCAGGCAACTTGGTAACTGTCTGGTTACATATTCTAAGAGACGTCTAGGGTGGAAGTCTGCATCACTGCTAAAGCACCGCTGGTGCAATCTTTTCCTGTTCACCAGGAACTTCAACATTGTGGTAGGAGCAGGGCTAGCAGCTTGTGTGTTTACCACTTAAATACCATACAACACAGGTGAGAAAACTGATGTCCATAGAAGTTTCATGATCCCTCCTGCTCCCGAGAGACAGACATGTTGGGAAACCAAGATAAAAACTAGGCCTCTTGTTTCAGTGGTGTTTTTATTGGGGACTTCTCACAAGAAGGGGACATGCTGGTTCTCTGAGGTCTGTGACATTCACAGCCACTTGAGTCTTCAGTTCCATTTCTTTTATGTGTCTGTGAGACATATGTCTGAAATAGAAACATATACCATTTAGTGTATAGCAGGAAATATATTCTGGTGATATTTTTGTATGTCTTGCAATTTATGCTGAATGATTCGTTGTGTCACCAAAACAAATCTCCTTTCTACATTTTCAATTACCATTTACATTTCCTGTTAAGATTTTTATACATCAGTCTCATCATCTAATGAATTAAATTTGCATTTATTTCATGTCAGTAAGGGTGAATTTCCTACCATAACTGAAAAAGTTTGCAGAAGTTGAATTCTGGCTTCATTCAGTTTTAGTGGTACTGGCCATACAAAGCAAATGTTCACCCAGCTTGGTGTTTTCTACTTGTCATTAAAAAGACTTTAAAGTATTGTAAATTTCTTAAAAGGTAATAGTATACTAAAAGTATTGGTTAAATGAGAAATTATAGCTTTTGAATATATATTTACCATAAATACTTTTAGAAAATGTATGAGTGTGATAAATGTGTTTATGTATTATATATTATGTGTTATGTTATGTATATACTTATACACAAAGACTCATACACATATGAAACTTTAGAGATATGCTTTTAAAAATGAAAGTGCAGGTAGGCATTCATATTTGCAGCATCTCCACTATTTTATGCTAGGGAAATCAGGCCTAGCAATGAACTTTGACTGTTCCATTTAGTATCAGGTTCCTCTTTAACCCCATTGATATAAAGTAGCTTCTTTCCTTGGCTTTGGTTTCCTAACTTACTATCTATACACATCTTGGCTAGAGACTTTTGCTAGTGTCTTTACTAATTAAATGGATGGCAGCATTTCCCAGTGGCTTCCGACAAAGTCAAAGATCATTTCCTCTATTTGGAAACAGCCAATGGACATTTGACAAGACACACAATTTCTTTACATCTGTCAATCTTTTATTTGGTCATCAATGTGTGGGATGTCAGCTAGATAGTTTCTAAGGGAGAAAGTAAGCCTCACTAATCTCTGTGACACCCAGAAATCTCTGCTCCACCGTTCCAACTTAATGGCTGATTTTTATGCTAGAAGAAGAGAGTGTATACATTAGAAGTAGTAAGATCTCTGCAGATTCAACAGAATACTAAGTGAGACAGAAATGCTCTCAGTGCACAACATAATGAATCAGAAACATGAGAAACATAAAAATTTTAAGAAAACATAAGCCTAAGTGTCAGATTGCAGAACAGCAGCAAGTCAACTTTTTACTATGTTTGATGGAAAATGTTAAAGCGAAATATTGGGCTTTTCTTGTAGAAACTCAGAGTTAGACACACTCATTCCACCACTTCATATTATTGAAATAAACTTTAAAATCAGTTTTAAATTTTAATTCTTTTCTCTACAACAAAGAATTTGTGTATGATTATGAACCATTAGATGCTCCGCTCATGTAGCAATGGGGAAAAATATGTGGCTCCATCAGTAGCTCTGAATTTTGTCTTCATGCATAGGGTCATTTAAGTAGATTTATAATGTTATTACAAAGGCACTCAAACAAACAAACTAATGTGAATTATAGATGATCTAGGGACAGGAAAAACTGGAAGCCACTCTGTATAAGATCATGATTTTATATAAATAAGATTTGAAAAGCAAGCAATAAAAAATTTCATCACTGTGGCTTTGGGATCAGGGATAAATCTGGTTAAACAAGGTTGATTAAAATATAGCTTATGGCTATATATGATCGCTGGAGCTCATCTACAGGAAATAGAATGTTGTAATCATTATAACTGATACTCTTCTAGCACAGAATACAGAATGTAATATTTTTCTCTCATATATAGATTTAATTAAATTTTTACATTGTTATGGTTTTTGGGGGTCAGTATTCAGGTTGAATAGCCCCCTCATTAGTGTTCATTCAGCTATGAGTTCATTGATAGAATAATTGAATATATGCACCTTTGAGGGGAACTCTTCACATTCAAACCAAAGCGCATCACTTCTGTCCCTCAAGGGCTCATGTCTATATAGACTTGGTAGCGCCAGCATTATTCAAAAGTCCAAGTTCAAAATCTCCTCTGAGACACAAGGCAATCCTGTAGCTGTGCATAATTCAAAAGGCAAATTAGAGACTTGGAGTGCACAGTGATACAGGATGAAAATTTTGATTCTAAAGAGAACAACTGAGGTGTTAAACAGAAGGCTAGGATAAAAATCCTGTGGTACCATGTTCAGTGACCAGGGACGTGGTAATATGTTGCAAGCTCCATAGGGCTTGGGAAGTCCTTCCCTTGTGGCTATGCTAGATACATTCCACATGCCTTCATTCCTGGGCTGGATCTGCTTGCTGGCTATAGCTTTTCTTAACAAATGTTGCTTGTTCTAGGTATTATTAACTTCCTGTATCTCCTCTGTACCTTCAACTAACTCTCTAGGTTCATGCATTGCATTATCATGACATTTCACAGGAACTCTGACTTTATCACGCCGTTTGTGATCTTCAAGATGTGTACAACACAAAGGTCTGCCCAAGTCACTTGAATCATGGCTGTTTTGGCTTCTGCATTTGTACCTTGATGATTGGATAACATGGGAAAGCATTACTAAGCACCCCTGGGCAAGCAGGGTGTCTTTGAGCTCTCTTCTCAAAGGAAAGTCTTTCAAATAAGTTAAACTACTTACATCCCTGAACCTGCTGTGGGTGAGACCTAGGCAATTCCTGAGATGCCTTCCAGGTACCATCCCTATTGATTTTGTGTGAAGTATTTGGCTTTATGACAGCACCAAATATCTTCAGTAACTTTTGTTTTCCCTTGTCATAACGTTCATCATAAGTTTATTCTTGCAAAAATGCAGGTTTGTCAAATCTGACCTTTTATTCATGCTTCTCACAATAGAACTGATGAAAAGCAGTTATTAATCCTGTACCATAGCCTGGATGCCATGCTGCCTTGAAGTTTTCCCCACTATATTAATTAGTTTGCCACTTTGGAACTCAGCCTTGCACAGTCTCAGGGCATGGACAAAGTCCCTGCAAAGGTGAGTTATTTGCTAGAATGCAACACAAATTGGCTGTAGTCTAGTTCTCGAGAGAATCCTCATTCCCATATGAAACTGCTAGAGCCTCCTGGTTGGTGTGCACTTTCCTGTCAGCATTCTGTTCTCCTGAGCTTGCACCTAGATGTCTATTATGCTCTGTTTACTGGTCTCTAGGCTCTATCTAGCCTGTTTCTCTAAACTTTTCCAAATTCCCCCCGTAAACCACATCCAAGGCTTTGAAACCACATGGTCAAGCAGAACAACTGCAGTGGCTCTCTACTCCTAGTCTAGTAGCAACATGTGTCTAAGTCACGGTTCTGTATGTACGCACAGGTATTATGAAAGGGGATTTATTAATTGACCTACATTATCCAAGACGATGTCCTCACACAATGGATATCTGTAGGGTGAAGAGGCAGGTCAGTCTATAGCTCCTCAACTGCTCAGAATAGTGAGATGGGAGCCTCCAAACAGGAGGGACCAATGGTTCAACCCCAGCAGGGGGCTGCAGGCTTAGAGCTACTCAGAAGAGTTGCTGGTGTTGTCCACATAGTAAAGCTGAACAAGCCGTAGCCAGACATTGTTTCTGCTCTTACTTTGTTTTGTTTGTTTGTGCCAAACTGCTAATGCCGTTGCATCATAACAAGGAAAAGCTAAGGAAGATTAATCTCGAAAGTGATAATTTCTCTAATATTTAATTCTTCTGACCATACAGAGACTTTTTCAACTACTCATGAGAAGCAAAGGTTGGACCTGAAACAATTCATGCAAACAAGGACTCCTCGCAGCTGTAGCCCTATCATGTGGACCCCAAGATGAACATATGGCAGAAATAAACTCAATTCGAGAGCAGTTGAGCTTGCACATGCTGAGGGCTTCATCCTTTGCTCTTTTCCACGGGGACTAGCAGACTATTGGATAGTGTTTCTCACATTTTTGGAATGCTTTTTCCCACCTCAGTTGCTGTCCCATATGCCAGTCATCTCTGGTAACACCCTCCCAGACATGTAGAAGTGTGCTTTATGAGACTCATAAGCATTTCTTTATCCAACAAGTTGACAATTAAGATTTCCACTGGTCAATAATCTCCCTCTTTATTTTCTTGAATGATCAGTTGGTACACCTAAAATATAGATTATGTTCATTTTGAAATCTTTAGCATAATTATATGCAAAAACATTTCCCAAATAAGTGTATGTTCACAAGCACTGAGGCCTAAGACGAGGGCATATTGTTTTGTGGAGCCAGTATTCATCCCAATACTCTGCTGCATTGTCCTATTTACATGAATTGTTGCAGGTCCAACCTTTGTTTCACCTATGCAGCAAAGAAAGTCTTTGTGTAGTCAGAAGTTTTAGAAAAAAGATTTTTTTTAGCTGAATCCTTCTTAGCTTTTACTTGTTGCGATGGAATGACATTAGCAAAGGTAGCACTGTTTTTAAATATTTTAGTTTTTCTTAGTATATTTTGGTAAAATCTGCACTAGTATAATGAAGCCCTGAAGTTAATTTCCTTATCAATTGATTAAGTCTCCTATTTACTAGTGACTCAAAACCCAGCTGTAGCTCAAACAAAAGCAATGGACACATCTACATTATGTATATTTTTGCATTGTTTATTTTGTGCCCATCACTGTTCCACTGTAAATAAAACTTAAAATACCTTTGTTTTCTTGAAGCTCAAATGTAGTGGTCCTTTTTTTCATTCTGACCACCAAGCAAAATAGAATCTTCTCCACAGCTACAAGGAGAGTCATTTTTTAGGGAAGGATTTCCATGGGTGCAGCCTCAGTGACATGACTTCTACCCTAGAAAGGACCACTTTTCTAACAGGTCACGTGACCAGCTTTGAGGTCCACACAGTAGTGTTAGATAGGACTGTTGCTGTAAGGAGGCACAAGTAAAAGAACAAAACAAAAACAGAAACAAAGCAAATAAGACAAACTCTGCCTAGACGGGCAGTTGTAGATGATTCCCTGCAGCTGGGCACTGATGGAGGTCATCTCAGAGCTGTTCTCTCCTTGCATTGCAAACTCATGGATTCCAGTCGCAGAGCTTCTCTTTCCGTCTTGACTTTGAGTCCATGCATTCACTCTGGACCTGTTGAGATGCCATGTCTGATGTTGAAAATACAAACAGGACACCATCCCTACCTAAAAATATTTCATAAGTTGCAGCAACTAAAAATTTTAAGCATGTAGTTAAATCAGAATGTGATCGCTACACTCATTGAGGTCTGAGAAAAGTGTTGCTAAGATGAAATAACTAATCAAGCCTGGAATAGGTTAAGATTCATAAACTCAAGAAGTGCAGAGTGACTCTTGTAGGCACCGGTAAATTGGCATGGGCGTCTGAAGGGGCACTGCAATTTTGCAGATTGCTTGAGGGTAGCTTGATCAATTTAAGATGTGTGATGGTGAGCATATTCCTTGAGGCAGAAGGCTGCAGAGTTGAAGTCTTATATATTATGGACTGTATTTCCAGCAAGACTCTCCCTAGCTTCTGTGGTTTCCAGATATTTCCTTTCTCAGTTTTGAATGTTGGCATCAAGTTTTTCTTCTTAAAGTTTTTGCTTGATCATGTCACCTTCCTGTTGAAAATCTGACATACACTTCCATAACTCAAACATATTGTCTATGCTTATTGCTGTGATCCCTTGTGAGTTACCACAAGGAAAGGTCCTGAAGACAGAGTATGGTACAGGTGTGGTAGTTTGAATGTATGCTCATGCCATGCCTGGTACCTCAGTTTACTTACTTTTGCCTTTGGATAAAGATGTAGGATTCTCAGCTCCATCTTCTGTACCATGTCTGCCTGCATGCTGCCATGTCCCACCATGATGATAATGAATTAAACCTCTGAACTATGTGCATCCATCATATTTTTTTCATTCATCGGTTGAAGGACACCTGAGCTGATCCCATAACTGGGGTCTTGTGAGTAGCACTACAGTAGGTGTGGGTATGTAGGATTCTCCATTGTATGTCAGTTTGGGTTTCTTTTCAGTATATGCCCAAGAGTGAGATAGTTGGATCTCTGTGGCATATTCTTGGGTGTGGCTCTCCTTGAAAGTGTATTATAAAAATTGCTTGTAGGTAAGGCCATCTCTACAAATGTTTTACAGGAATATAGCAGTTCCTGTATTTTATTTTTAAAGTGTATAACCATTGATTATTTTTTCTGAAAACTTGAACCAATATAACAAAAACAGGACAGTGAAAGGAAGTATAAAAATGAGACAGTAGACAACAAAATTATAATTCTTTGCAGAAGACATTATTGTTTACTTTGAAACAAAAAATCTATCCAGTCCTTAGAAATAAGAAAAAAATCTATCTAGTTTATTTGTGAAAATAAGCTGAAGAACTATTACTCGTGGAGAGACCTTTAAGGTAATGATAGATGGACAATACTTCTACAATATACCTGCTAGAGAAAAAACAGCAGTGTATGTGTGTGTTTAGGAAAGGAATAATGAAATATAATAGCACAAGGAACAGAAATAGAAAATTCTTGAGACTAAAATTTGCCAAGGAATTCCCAGAGTTATATAAAGGAATAAACTAAAAATTACTAAAAAATGTGAAAGAAAGTTTAAATATGTGGAAAGACATGTATCAAGCCTCCTGAGACATCTTAATATTCAAATAAAGTAATTTTAAGAAAAAGCTCAAATAAAAGTTCGGTATTTATTTTTTGACTTTAAAAATAGATCTAAAATTCATATAGGCCACAAGAGGCACACTATTCAAGATGGAATTTGAGATAAGGAAAGCCCTGATCACTGGGAAAATGCACTACACGGCTCTGTTTAAAATGATGCCGAAACTGGGTCAGGATAGAGATATACATCTGCATTGCATAGTGCTAGGGATCCACATGTGCATTGTGTAGTGTTAGGGATCTACATCTGCATTGTGTAGAGCTAGGGATCTATATTTTCATTGTGTAAGGCTAGAGATCCACATGTGCATTATGTAGTACTAGGGATCTACATCTGCATTGTGTAGGGCTAGGTATCTCCATCTGCATTGTGTAGTGCTAGGGATCTACATGTACATTGTGTAGAGCTAGGGATCTAAACCTGTATTGAGGTAAACTGAGTGAAATGAAAGAGGGGAGTGTCGAGAAATAGACCAGAAACAGAATAACATTTAACATGGCATCATTGTTGAATGAACAAGGAATGGGTCGATAATTTAATAAATGGTAGTAGGATGAAGGTTTTCCCTTAAAAGATGGTTACCAGAACACCATATGTTGTGTTAGTGGCAAAGCGTGCAGTTCCCATTTCATTATTTCTCTGTCTCTGTGAGTTAAGAATTTGTGAGTGCCCAGATGGTTGGGTCTGGCTCACACTCTTTAAAACAGTTGCAGTCAAATGCTGGTGGCTGTAGCAGAGACTGCAGGATACCAGAGCAGCTGGCTCTGGTCTGCAGGATCCCTGGGCATCTTTATTGGGTTCCTCCCATGCCTAGTTAGGGCTCCCTCCCATCATAGGGTCCTCAGTGACTCACATTTCTTATATGAAGGCTGAATGCTTCAAAGCCAACATTTCAGCCAACAAAAATAGAGGCTAAATTCCTTCTATGCCTGAGCTTTGGACATAAGATAATTTCTGGCATGTGCAGAAATACAGGCCCCTCTGGATACAAAGGCATGGGGTATAGACCCATTTTCCTTATGGGAGAATAGTCATCATCATCATTGTGAGACGAGTATGGGATGAGAGAAACTATTTGGCTTAGTTTTCTTTCTGCTGCTTAACCACAGCAGAGAGTCAGTAACTTGCACAGTCTTTTATTTTGGTTGATGGTTATGAAAGCTGAAAAGTTCAAGGTTGGGTAACCACCTCTGACAAAGGCACCACACTGCTTAGCATGCAGAAAATGAAAGGGCTCATAGGTGTGGGCATAGAGTGAAAGGTACAGATGAGGGGGAGCTTTCTAATGGCTCACCCTCAGGAAATGCATTAACCCTCTCAGAAGGGCAGAGCCCTCATAACCCAACAGCTCCTAAAGGACCCACTACTGTGGAATACCTTCACATTGCAATTAAACCACACCTAGATAATTGAAGCAGAATTCTAGGCATCTTTGAGAATGGTCCCACTGACAGTTGAGGTAGATCTTCCCACATGGATTAATTTAATCAAGATATCCATATTGGCATGCCTAGAAGCCCATTTCCAGGATGATTCCAGAGTTTGTCAAGTTAGATACAATATTTCAAATATCCCTCCCTCCCTCCCTCCTTCCCTTCCTTCCTTTCTCCCTCCCTCCCTCCCTCCCTCCCTCCCTCCCTCCCTTTCTTTCTTTTTTTTAGATGAATGTTCCTTAAACAAATCACAGACCTATTAACCTGATAGAACCATCAAGCCTTGTCCTCAAAAGATGATGTAGGCTAGCCCATTGACCCCTCTCTCCCCTTGTTACTTTCACTCAGGAGAGATACAGCACCACTGAAATGCTAAGTGAATGCATGTCTACTGAGACAAAAGAGAAACTGACTCATTTTCTCTGCAGGCACCCCCTATTCGTATGAGTGGCCTTTGGATCTACCATGGTCACCATCCTTTTTTGTTGATACGCATTGCATTTACATCTTTCTTTATTAAATGGAAACAGAGATAATAAAATACCAGCCAAGAATAGGTGCTAATCCACTAGCCTAAGTGATTTTAAAAGAATAAAATGTTCTAACCATAAAATAACAAAGAAAGCCAAGCGTTGGTGGCATATGCCTTAAAATCCCAGCATTCTGGAGACAGAAGCAGGCAGATCTCTGTGAATTTGAGGCCAGCCTGGCCTAGAGTGAGTTCCAGGACAGGTTTCAAAGAAGTACAGAGAAACCTTGTCTTGAAAAACCAAAAACGAAAAGAAAATGAAAAAAGCCCAAACAAATAGAAAAAGAAAAACAATGAAGTTTAAAATAAAGTATTATGTAAGTTACTTATGATGAAGAAATACTTAGATTTACGGTAAATGAGGTAGTACTATTCTGTGTATGGAAGTTCAAGCCCTACTTAAATTGAGTGCAGTGATAAATGATATTTCCCTCAGGTACATGTAAATAATCAGAGAAAAAGGGAGGAAGCTTATGCAAGTGGGGAAAACACCACTGAAAACCACCAATTGTAAATGTGGAAAAATTGATGCCTTAGTAAACTTTCTTATTTCATCTGTCAGCATAATATGAAAATAATTTCTGAAGTCATGGTCTGTGCAAGTGATGTAAACATATCTGTTTGGAAGTAAAATGTTGACTGTCAAAGTGTTGTCTCAGTATCTGAAGTCTTGCAAATATGCAAGTCACAGGGCTGCAGACCTCTGAGATCAGGACACTTGCATACGGATGGATAGCAGGCTTCTGCCTCATTTCCATCCAATGCCTATCATACCCATTGTCCACATAGAGTAACAGTAGCCTTCATAGTTTCTCAAGTACTATCCACTGTGCCTTCTCTCTTGTGGATAGCAGCATATTTTAATTTTGACATTTTAAAAAATTATTAAACCAGACTGTGCATTCCAGTGAGAAGACTTCTGCTGAATTAGCATATCGTTAGCTTTCCTTGAAACTTAATACTGCATTTTCTACAAATGTAATATTGAAGACACTGTTCACACATCATTTAATATAAACTCACAGGATATATTTATTTCTGAGTCGATATCGGAAGCTCTAGTTTCTCCAAGTGCTGCAAATAGTCATGTCTCTCATCATGTTTCCTTCTTTGTGTTGGGCTCACAAAGTGTAGACTAATTTCTGACCTGTGTCCAGCAAGTTGACAAAATGGCAGAGAATGCTTTGCGTGTGCTAACTTCCTGATCCACAGGGTCTAGCCTTTATCCTCATTGGCTTTCTATCTGTAAATGTATAAACACGAACTGTTTGTGAAGTAATCTTTTCTCTGGTGGTACAAAATAAGTTGCTGTTTACCAGATAGATGTTATCACCAAATATATGGTATAGTTTCCTCTAAAAATGCCCCCAACTCCTGGTGAATTGAAAACAAAAAGGAACCTTTTGTGACCAGAAATTGCAAAGATGGAAAGACACTAACAAGCCCTGGACCCTTGCAGATGATATTTAGCCAA